ATAACTTTGTTCTCATAAGCAATTGTTTAGCTATTAAGTAGAGGCACTTAATAAATCATTTTGCTAAACCAACTGTGATGTAAACCAACTTATCAAGATGAACTTCTTGAATAAAAAATCTGGAAATTATGCTCGAAATTAAATTATTGAGCAAGCTACCTCGCAAACACCAAGTTGCGAGTTAATAATAATCGCACATGTAACCATCTCATAGATGCATCTTATGGGATATACATGGCAGGTGAATGGGCCCATATTCACCTTTGATATTTCCAGCATTCATGGGATTCAATCCCAATTTTAATTGGTCTATTAATTAATGAGAACAAGCAATGTAAGAGAATTCGTAAAGAACTTTCTAGTTCTTTAATATTTACCCATGTGAATTCTCTTTTATTTTTGCACATCATACTTAAATTGATATGGGTAAATCAATTATGCCAACTGAATAAATTATCAATATTGATAAACTTCAGGTTTACACCATGATGTGTGCAATTATGAATAAACTCCAAGTTTATTATGATATGGGTTTTTATATCAATAAATATCCACTTCATTGTGATATTCTTTTGTTTATGTAGTACATATTGGAGAATAAAACGGGTAGCTTTTCACATACATATTACCCCGCTACAAGTTGTAGTAATAGAAGATATTAAATCTTTCCTTTATTTATAGTCTCAATATAATCAATCGCTTTCGCGTATACTGTGGAAACTGAATAAGTTTCTTTGAGACTTACTACAACACAATACCTTATTGGTAATCAATTGTGTTTCTCCAAAATAGTAATAATTGGCTCTTCCAGAGCTCTCAATTAATTTGGTACTACCACATATTTATCAACATCCATATGGTGAATATCTCTTTTAAAGAGAAAGTTATACCATTATGGTTATGGTCAAAATTATATACAAGATCTGTTTCTTGCATTACCGTTGTCTTTTAACAATCAAAATTCTAAAATATTTTGGCGTACAATAGGTACGTGACCAATGACCATTCATGCCATAATAATGACATTATTTTCTTATATCATCTCAAACCTTCTTTTAGAGGTGAGTGCGGTATATTCACTACCACTAGCACGTTCATATTCTTTGAAGAATGAATATGTATTCATAAATCAGATGTTGTCACATTCACATCATGAATGGACCATAATCATCTATATGTGCTTTATAAAATCTCATGTCAAATCGATGACAAATATTACTTTCATAGAGTTAAGGATTATTTCGAGAATCCTTATTATTCTCATTATCACAATGATGATGACGAGGCCAATGTGTATAGGATTTTCCTGCTCGTGCTTTGTCAAATTCTAGTATAGTTTATGATATCGTCCCACAGAGATTGGAACATCTATGCTACAAACCCTTAATATTTCAACTACTATTTGAGAGAATCAGATTGATGAAAAGTGAGTGAGGTTTAAAGCTTGTTAATTACTTAAATAAAAACCAATTACTTCCGGAAGATTTATAATTTAAAAGAGTTGGGAATCATTGAATTCACTTGATAATATATTATAGTAAAATCTCACTTTATACATGTATTTCTCTAAAGGATAATTGCTTATTGCTAATACAATTATATCTTATCTCATCAAAAATTAGTCAACTAATAACACTCC